CCCCTCGCCGTCCTGCAGGCCTGTCCACTGCCCTCGGCAGCTTGGCGGCCGCCTGATGGTCTGGTCTCGCTCCACCGAGCCCTTTTCCTGACGGGCCCTCCCTTCCCTGCTTGTGCATCTTGGGCTACCCTGGCCCATTCCCCCATCAGCCACCACAGCAAAGGTCCCTCTCCGGACCACCAGCCCCTTGGCCTCGGCGCAGTCCGGGGGGCAGTGGGGTGGGGGTCCTCCCAGTGACTCTCCCCCTTGGGAACCCAGGTATCCACGCTGAAGAATGAGGACATAAAGATTCGCCAGGACAGTGTCACCAAGCTGCTCACGGACGTGCAGCTCATGAAGGGGAAGCAGGAAAGCATGGACTCCAAACTCCTGGCCATGAAGCAGTAGGTTCTGTGCCGCGGCACATGGGCGGGGAGGTGGCCGGACGAGGGGGGAAGGAGCAGGCAGGAGAGGGGCAGGCCTGGGAGCTGGCCTCTTCCCACCAGCCCCGCCTCCCACAGCTTGTGACACAGGCGCCCAGGCCTTCTGCCCTCCGGATGTAGAATTAGGTTTGGACTTGTGCTCACTTCCCGGGAGGCAGGGTCTGACCGGCTTCCCGCCCCACAGGCAGAGCTGGGCTCCTCCCGCTGCCGCCCGCCTGGGCACCCTGTAGGCTGGGGTGGAGGGTTTCTCGCCAGCTCTCATGATGTTGGCTGTCCCGCTGGTCCCCACCCCTGGGGCATGTTTGGCCAGCACATAACCAGTCCTGTGCTCCTGTCCTCAGCCAGGACCCCCAAGAAGGCTGGCTGGAGCCTATTCCTATACACCTGGGGGCCCTGGGGACCTCTGGAACCACAGCCTAGGGTGCCTGTCGTCAGCTTAGCTGTGTGTGGCCTCAGACCATCTCAGGGGGCAGGGCCTCATGACTCCAGCATCACAGAAGAGGCTCCTGAGCTCTGACTTGCTCACATTGGGGTCCAGCAGAAGCCACTGGCTATATGACGTGAGCAGAAGGGGGCCGGGTGAACTTGGCCTCCCGGGACGCGGGTGCCTCTCAAGGTGAGGCCAAGGGGGTCAACTCCGTGTCAAGGAGGCGCTCGGGGGCTTACTAGAAGGGCAGGCCACAGCCTGCTCACAGCCCTGTTTGCCCAGTTGGGGAAATGGTGCCCAGGTGGCCCTTTCCACTCCTTAAAGTCACCTGTGAGCCATTTCCAGGCTTGGGGAGCAACCCTGAGCCCCCCAAAGGCACAGGATGACCCCCATAGGCCGCTCTCCAGCCTGAGAGCTGGGCTGGCCTTCCCTCCTCTTCTCAGGTTCAGTTGGGGCAGAGATGGTTGGGGGGGGGGCAAGGGGGCCTGATCCTGTGTTCTGCCTAAGCCCACCAGCCCTTTCCTTAGGAGCCCCCTCCACCGGACCCCCCACCCGGATCGTCTGTATGTCCTCCCCCAGCAGCGTAGCCAAGCACAGAGGGGCCGCGGTGCCGTTACCACCAGGCTCCAAGCCACCTGCGGGAACTGCACCCTAGACCCTACACCTGCCCAGGGCGTGGGAGGGGGCACGGGGGTAGCTGACCGCCCCGTTGTGTTCCAGCGAGAACGAGGCCTTGTGGCGGGAGGTGGCCAGCCTGCGGCAAAAGCACGCCCAGCAGCAGAAGGTCGTCAACAAGGTGTGCGGCGGGCCTGGGGGGCGCCTGCTGGGCCCCGTCCCCGGCCAGGCTGACTGTGCCTTTCTACTGCCCACACAGCTCATCCAGTTCCTCATCTCCCTGGTGCAGTCGAACCGGATCCTGGGGGTGAAGAGGAAAATGTGAGGCATGGGGGGTGCCTGTTCCTCAGCACGGGGCCCTGGGCCTCCCTGTCTCCTCTCGGCTGAGTGGCGGGTGGCCATGGCCCCGGGGAGGCCCTTGACCCCACCTCTCCCCCCCGCCCCGCCCCGCAGCCCCCTGATGCTGAATGACGGCAGCTCGGCACATTCCGGGCCCAAGTATGGCCGGCAGTACTCCCTGCAGCACGTCCACGGCCCGGGCCCCTACTCGGTGAGCGCGCGGTGCCGCGGGGCTGGCCCGGGCAGGGGTGGGCGCTGCTGCGGCTCCTGCCACATAGGCCGCCTCCCTTCGATGGCAGGCTCCCTCCCCGGCCTACAGCAGCTCCAGCCTCTACTCCCCAGATGCCGTCGCCAGCTCCGGACCCATCATCTCCGACATCACCGAACTGGCCCCCAGCAGTCCCTTGGCCTCCCCGGGCGGAAGCGTAGACGAGAGGTGGGGGCCGCGTCATCCTCCCAGCCGTCGGGGGGAACGGGGCGCCCACGGAGCCGGCTGCTGACACGTGTGCTCCCTGGACGCAGGCCGCTCTCCGGCAGCCCCCTGGTGCGCGTCAAGGAGGAGCCCCCCAGCCCTCCTCGGAGCCCCCGGGTGGAGGAGGCCAGTCCTGGACACCCGTCCTCTGTCGTGGAGATACCCCTGTCCCCAGCCGCCCTCATTGACTCCATCCTGCGGGAAAGCGAGCCTGCCCCCACCGCCCCAGCCACACCCCTCACGGATGCAGGGGCCCACCACCCCTCACCCCCGCCCCCACCTGCCTCGGCCCCTGAGAAGTGCCTCAGCGTAGCCTGCCTGGACAAGTGAGTGCCACCCCCACCCGCCTCCCCTGCGGCCTCTGAAGCGCAGCGGGGCCTCCAGCCAGGACCGTCCTGGAGGGGCTGGTACAGGGAGGTCGTCAGGCTGAGGGCACGGGGTCGCTGGGGGAGGCGCCTGCAGGTGTGGCCCTGAGCCCAGAGCTTGCTTGTCCCAGGCCCCCTGCCTCAGGAGCCAAGGGTGTGTGGCCTCGCAGGCCTGTCCCGCCTGCCCCCTGAGCTGCTCCAGCTGCTGCCGTCGCCCCTTTCGCAACAGGCCACTGCCCCGTCCTGCTGGCCAGCGGAGGGCTCGCCCCAGAGGCCAGGCGAGCCAGGGCGGGGGGCACGGAGTCCACTGGCCCCCACCTGCAATCGGGGGGCTCTTGTCTTTGTATCTTGCAGTTTGGCTCGCGCTCCACAGATGTCTGGGGTCGCCCGCCTCTTCCCCTGCCCCTCCTCTCTGCATGGCCGAGTCCAGCCAGGGTTAGCGCCGTCCCCACTGGGGAGGGAGGAGGGCTCCGCCAGAGCTCAGGCCCCTCCCCAGCCTCGGACCAGACCCTGGCCTGGCCGTGAGCACTTGGCCCTGCCTGGCGAACAGGTGTCCTGGGCCTTCTGCAGCAGGGAGCAGCCCCCCACCCACCCCAGGCTCTGGGGCCCAAGACCGTGCCCCAGGTCACTGACTGACAGACTGGGCCTCCCGGCCTGGCAGCCGCCACCCATGCAGCCAGAGTCCCAGCTGCTGTGACGACCCGCTTCCTCTCAGGGTGGGGCTGGGCCCCGTGGACACCTCCCAGGACCAGCCAGGCCACCCGTCCTGTAGCAAAGGTCCACCAGGTGGCCCAGGACCTTCTTGGCCACCGCCTCCAGACCCACGCCTCCTTCCCAGCACGCACCAGGGCAGAGACCAGCCCTCTACAGCCTGCCCACGGTTCCCTCTCCCCATCCCTGTGGTCTTCCAGTGTAAAGGCAAGACCTTGTCAGGCCTGAAAAACTGCCCCCGGCCTTCCTGAGCACAGAGCCCCTCCTGGGCCCTCCTGCCATCTTGGCCCAGCTCCCAGTGCTGCCGGAGGTCTTCCTGGCCCCACGGCGACCGGACCAGCCCGCGTGGCCTCGGCTACCCTCCCACACGCGTGCCCTGGGCCCACACTGGGGAGGGCGCGACGGGGGGGCCCAGGTTGGGGGGTGCAGCTGAGGGCAGCCCCCCTACACACACACCCGGGCTTGTGTGTGTGGGCACCGGCGGGAAGGCATCTGCCTGGGGGTGCCCGGAGCGACGCTTGACCCGTCCCGCCTGCTCTGGCCAGGACCGAGCTCAGTGAGCACTTGGACGCCATGGACTCCAACCTGGACAGCCTGCAGACCATGCTGACGAGCCACGGCTTCAGCGTGGACACGAGCGCGCTGCTGGACGTGAGCGCTGCCCTGCCCCGTCCCCGCCCGCGCCCAGCCCCCAGCGCAGCCTGACCGCCCTCCCTTCCCTGCAGCTGTTCAGCCCCTCGGTGACCGTGCCAGACATGAGCCTGCCTGACCTTGACAGCAGCCTGGCCAGCGTGCGTAGGCAGGGTGGGGACAGCAGAGGCGTGGGGGTGGGGGGACGGCGACAGGGAGCCCTCACTCCACCCCCTCCTGTCCCAGCAGATCCAGGAGCTTCTCTCTCCCCAGGAGCCGCCCAGGCCCCTTGAGGCTGAGAACAGCAGCCCCAACTCAGGTGAGCGGAGCCCCCAACCCCTGCCCTGCCGCCCGCATGCCCTCCGGCCGGTGCCCTGACCCCGCCCCACCCCCAGGGAAGCAGCTGGTGCACTACACGGCGCAACCCCTGTTCCTGGTGGACCCGGGCTCCGTGGACATGGGGAGCAGCGACCTGCCTGTGCTCTTCGAGCTGGGGGAGGGTTCCTACTTCTCGGAGGGGGACGACTACACAGATGACCCCACCATCTCCCTGCTGACGGGCTCCGAGCCCCCCAAAGCCAAGGACCCCACTGTCTCCTAGAGGCCCCAGGAGGAAGGCTGGCCGAGGGGCGAGGCGTAGACCCCGGTCAGCAGCGAGGGCCACAGCCCTGTGCCACGGCCTACTTGAGGCTCCCGGCCACACGGGGACTGACGGCCACACAGGGACTGACGGCACTGCACGTGCTCCGTCAGGATTGGGTTTGGGATTTTTACATGAGTCCCCCTCACCCCTTCAGTAGAGACACACGGACGGACGGACGAGACTGGCAGAGACCTATAAACGACAGACTCTACACTGTGGCCTCCCGTGTCTGTTTCCTCCCGGCACCCCCCAGGGTGGGCCCCGGGGACATGGGTCCGGGAAGGGGGCTGAAGGTCTGGGCCGTGGTAGCCCCCTCAGAAGGAAGGTCGATGGTCAGAGCCTAGCCATGCGCGCCTGACTCCACAGGACCCGTGTGTGTGCTCACAATTCTTTATTCAAGGACCTGGAAGGGGGGCGGTGGGATGGACCCACAGGAACGCCCTTCCCAAGACCTCCCCAATGAGGCGGCTGGGGGAGCATGGGTGGGTGTGCTGGAGCCTCTTCCTGGCTTTGCAACCCTGCTCACCACATGTTCTCAAGGCACTGGCTGGTTTGGGAGCAGAGGAGGGGTGGGGAGGGGACAGACCAGAGTGGCCTTCCTGATGCCCTGTGCCCCCAGGTGTCCACCCACTCACTACTCACCATCCCCAGCAGGGCCCAGGGAGTCCCTCTACCCCTGACTCCATCACAGCCAGAGGAGATGGGGGACATGAGGTTGGGCAGATTCAGGGCAGGTTGGGGGCAGCATGGCCCTTGAGGCCACTGCCCAGGCACCCCCTCACCTGCCTTGTCAGACCACATCAGACCAGTCTGTGACTGGGGCCCATTGGGCCACACACATGGCTTGGGGTCTTGGAAAGAGCCTACCCGCCCAGTCCGGTGGGAATGGGCTCCGGGCTGCCCCCCGTCGGGCTTGGCAGAGAATAGTCTGGGAGCACAGCTTCCTGAGGGCCACACGTAGGCGTGCGTGTGGGCTGCCGAGAGCGAGAACTGGGCGTGTGGGGCTCAAACCCAGGGCAGTGGAGAGTCCCTCCTGGGTGCCCAGCAGGGGCAGAGAGCTGGTGTTCAAGCCTTTGCGTGGATGTGCTCAGGAGGAAGACCGAGGTCATGGGTCAGGCCAGGCCACCTGCCTCCCCCCAAGAGCTGCCACCCCAAGGGTCCAGGGACTCCGCCGCCATGAGCATCACAGCCGAAGAACAGCACCAGCACGCGGCGCCGCCAGGCCACACACTGGTTCTGACTCCGGCCTCCAGCCAGTGCCCCAAGCCAAGATCCCCTCCTGGGAAGTCCTTGGGCACCATCTTCTTCCAAGGCCCCAGCACAGGGACCACGGAGCTCTGAGCTGCTCCCCCACCCTGACAACGCACACACGCTAGGTTAACAAGGGCAGTGATAGGACAGGACATGTGACCTGAGCCAGGTCTTGCTGGGCAGTGGGGGTTGCCGCCTGTGGTACAGAAACAAGTGCCGGGGAGGAGGAGTCAGCCTCATGGGCACTGTGGCTTTGCTCCCGCCCCTCCAGCCAGGACACCGCGCCCTGAGGACACGGGCATCAGAAGGCCAGTGGGACTCCGAGCCCCCCACCCCCGAGAGCAGCACTAGCACCCCACGACCCCGGCAGGCTGAGGGCGCCGCTCCGGACAGCACTTTATTGATCCCCTCAGACCCCTGGGCAGGGTCGGCACAGGTTCCTGGGATGCTGGGCTGCCGTCCCTGAGTAGGTCAGGAAGGAGCCCCATAGGGGCAGAGAAGCCCTGCGGACGGCCAGGCCCCCTCCCCAGCACACAGGTGGGGCGGCGGGCTCTGGTCATGGGCAGCGAGGAGGGAGGAGGAGGCCACAGGCCCCGCCATGGAGCAGCTCAGGCCCCAGCCACGGGGGCCTCATAGTTGAGCACGTAGTAGTCGTGGACGTACATGAGCACGGCCACCGGCTGCCCGATGATGAGCGTCAGCCACACGGCCGCATTGCCGTAGTTGCCCTGGAAGAAGCGGCTCACCAGCCAGGCCAGCGGGATCTGGAGACACGGGCCCGGGTCAGCCGGCCGCGCAGGACCCAAGGAGGGGCCCCGGGCCGCGGGGGGTGGGGGGCGCGGGGCGCGGGGCACACTCACCTGCGCCATCATGCCTGTGAAGGCCCAGAGGCGGAACATGTGCAGAGGCACGCTCACCAGGTACTGCAACGGGGCAACGGGCGTCAGCCACCGCCATGGCCACACGCACCCAGGGGGCCAGGGATGGGGCTGGCCGGAGTGACAGGGGCTGCATGCGTCTGGGGGACAGGGACAGGGCTGACCGGAGTGATGGGGGCTGCACACACCCCCCAGGGACAGGGATGGGGTGACGGGAGTGACGGGGGCCGCATGCGCCTGGGGGACAGGGACAAAACTGGCTGGAGTGGGGGCTGCACGTGCGGTCGGTGGTGGGGCATGGGGCCCGGGGCTGGTCGTGCCTGCAGCGCACTCACCTCGTGGAAGAAAGCCGAGGCAAAGAACACCCCGGTCCTGGCCAGCCACTTGCTGCTGCCCCGGCGAAGCATGGGCTTGTAGAAGTGTCTGCAGAGGGAGGGGGCCGTGGGCCAGGGGCCGTGGGCTGGGGCTGGGCTGGGGCTGGGCTGGGGCTGGGCCGGTGCGCACAGCTGCCCGCGACCGCCCCCACCGCCGCCCCTCGCCCGCGCCCACCTGAGGCACCATTTGTGCACAGGGATGTTCCAATTCTGCCAGAAGTAGGTGACGGACTCCGAGTTCCTGGGGGTGGAGAGCAGCGGTGAGCGGTGAGCGGCCCGCAGCCGGACGCGCCCACCCCAGTCGCACACCCGAGGCCACGCACCACCAGTCCCGGTAGAACTCCCGGTCTCCGAACTGCATGAGCTCAGCCACGGCGTTCATGCAGGAGTGAAAGAACCAGTAGAAGAAGATGAGCCAGATGAGGTGATTGGGGACCTGCAGGGGGAGGCAGGGCCGGGTTGTGAGACACCACCCCCGCCGGCTCCCGCCACGCCCGCCCCCCCAGGCTGCTCACCGCCAGCTTCAGGAGGCGCTCGATGATGCGGGAATAATCCATATCCTGCAGAGACAGAGCTCAGCGGGCTCCCCGAGCGGCTCCCCACCTGCCCTCCACCCCAGCCCGGGGGAACCTGAGCGCTCACCTTGAAAGGCTTCATAGAGTTCTGGATGGTGGGGACCATCCACTGCAGAGGGGGGCACAGCGTCAGCGCCCGGGCCGCCTGGGCCACCCGGCCCCGCCCCCCCCCCTCCGGCCCGGCCCCCCCTCCGGCCCGGCCCGCGTACCTGCTGGATCAGCCCCACCTGGAGCTGGGTCAGAAACAGCTGAGGGAGGAGGCAGAGAGGAGCAGGCTGAGCCCCTCCAGCCCCAGGCAGGCCCCCAGCCTACCCCGCCCCCGCCCCCGCGGCCAGCCCCCATCCTCACCATCTCCAGGAGCCGCCGCAACAGGAAGCGCTTTCGGATTCGGGGAGAGCGGGGGAAGTTGAGCTCGTAGCACAGAGTCGGAGCAAAGAGGAAGTAGTACAGATCTGGAACAGGAGGCTGGGGCTAGCACCGGCCAGGCCGCGCCCTGCTGTCCCTGCGCCACTGCCCTTCGGCCAAGTCCCAGGGGGCGTCCTCACCACGATAGGTCAGGTTGTCCGGGTAGCTCACGGTGCGCGGGGCAGCTCCCCCGTTGGCCTTCTTACCTGCGGAAGCTTCAAGCGAGGGGGGCGGGTGAGGCCCTGCTGCTGCCCCAGTCTGGCCCCGAGGCGGGTGGCACAAGCTCTGAGGCCCCAGCCCTGGGCAGCCCCTCACCAGCCTTGGCCCTGGCCTTGGCCCTTCGTTCTCGGCACCACAGGTTGACATCCCGGTAGGAGACGAGCTTGAGGAACAGGATGGTGTACGCCATCAGAGCCAGCACGGAGCCCACTGCAGGAGAGGCGGGCTCAAGCCACAGCCCTCCCACAGCCCGAGGGAGAGCCACAGCCACGGCCCCTACAGGCGCAGGGCCTGGGTCTCGCCTACGGGCCTCAGAGACAGGCTGGGCCGCGGGTGGGATGAAGGAGGGGCACACCTGGAGTGATGGACTCGAGCAGCAAGGCCACGGCCGCCGGGAAGCAGAGAATGGTGGCCAGGTTGGCCGCGTGCAGCAACAGCCCCGCCTGCTCCGTCAGGGCGCCCTGGGGCGGGGGGGCCAGAGTACTCAGTGGGTGTCCCACACCCTAGGCAAGGGGTCTCCCTGGGGAAGGGCTACCAGGCCTGGGGCCCAGCCCCTCCCAGGAGAGCTACACACAGCCCTAGTGAGAAGAGCAGGCCCTGGGCAGGGCGGGGTGGGAGGGCCCTGCTTACCACGGCCAGGCGCTTCTCCACCTGGAACGCAGCCGCGGCAAAGACGTTGGCCACTGAGGATGTAAGTGTCACAGGGCAGGTTCAGGCCCCGGTCAAGCCCTGTCCCGTCTCCACCCGAGGCCTGCCTTGGCTCCCAGCTCACCAATAACTAGACACAGGGCAGGCCAGCTGTAAGGGTCCTTCAGGAACAGAGACACCACCTGGATGGGGTCCACCAGGATGCCGTACCTGGGGATCGGGGGATGAGGCCTGAGCAGGTGGGGAGGGGCTTCAGGGGTGGGGCCAGGGCCCTGGGGAAGACACTCACTTGATGAGGTTTTCTAAAAATAACCGTGCATTGCTCAAGATCTGCAAGAGAGAGGAAGGGCACAGCCCCATTAGCCCTGGCCACGGGGTGCCCCGCCCCCCAGCTCCTCTCAGCGCCTACAGGGGCAAGAGCCCCAGGTCCCGAGGGACACATGCACCCTATAAGCCCAGGCCTGTCCGGCCCGCACGCCAAGCTCCAAGACTCACCACCCTCCTAACCCCACACTAGCAAAGGGACAGGAAGCCCTTCCGTGATGCCCGCATCACCCCAGCAAGATGCCCCAATCCCTCCCCAGCAAGAGGGAATCGACCCCAACACCAGACACCAGGGTCTGCAGCAGCACAGACTGACCCGCTGCCTCACAGCCCTCCTCTCACTGAGCTGGCGGGGGCCCCAAGGCCCAAGGCAGGGGCAGCCACTCCCTGGGGAGTAGGAAGAGGCAGCTGAAGCCCAAGTGCCCCTTGGTACTCACGCCCCCGCCCCTCTTCCGCTCTCCTGTAGCGCTCCACGCCCGGGCACGTGGCCCCAAAGGAGCTCCCAAGGACAGAACCCCCATGGAGATGGGCTCCTGGCTCTGGCCTGGGGCTGGGGAATGGCTTCCCTCTGCAGGCACGAGGGTCTCCTACTCCATCCCATAAGGTACAGACCCTGCCAAATGCCCCAAACTCAGGCCCTGGCCATGGCTCGTGGTAGATTCTGAGGAAGAGTGATGCTTGACAGCAGACACCGGTGGGATCCCTTACCTGGGTGGTCAGGGAAGGCTTCACAAGGAGGTGAAAACCTGAGAGACACAGGGGCCCTGCCACCAGCCCGGCCTGCCAGGCACAGATGTGCCGTCACCATGCCTGGTGGTGGCCTGTCCGGAAGGCCCACAGCAAGCCCGCAGGAGCTGGAGCTGCTGGTGGGCCGGGCTCAGCCCCAGGCCCAGGCCATAGAGGGAACACACCAAGCAGCACCAAACACGGGTGCACGTCCCCTCCAGCGAAGGGCTGGGAGAGGCGCCAGCAGCAGGGGAGAGGTTCTGGGGCTGCGCCAAGGGGCCAGGTGGGCCCACGGGGTTGCAGGCCACCGGAGTGCTGCCTGAGCTGCTGAGGGCCCACCCTCCAGGGCTGCCTCTACAAACCCCAGGCTGGGAATGGCCTCCAGAGGCCAAGTACACACCTCCTGAGGGTCAGGCAGGCGTCTGGCCCACTGTCCCCTTGCTCAGCTAGCTTCCCACCCACTGTACTGCATTGCCCCTCCCCCAGCTCCAGGGAGAGCCTTCTGGGCCCATGGGCAGGGAGGATGTGGGTGTGCCTGGAGCCCTTTCCACACGGGTAACCGGAGGAGCCACACCCGAGACAGGTGGTGATGTCAGGGCAAGGGTCAAAGGCCTCTGGCCACATCAGCCTGAGTGGTGAGGGCTGGGCCCAGACAGGCCCTTGCCCCCTGCCCCTCCCTGAGGGCCACCCCTTGGAGCCCTGGGCTCCAGCGGCTTCTGGGCCAGTACTGCCGCCCCACCCCCACAAGGTGCCAGCAGGGACCAGGGCGGACGGTGAGGGAGGCAAGGGCCCCATCTAATCCCTCCCTGCAGGCCACCTAGGACCAAGGCTGAGGGAGAGAGGCTCGGTGCCTTCAGAGTCAGGGCCTGGAGCTGCCAGGCTGAGCCCAAGAGCCATCCGCTTAGCCCCGCCCCCTCCGCAGGCCAGGCCGGCCAGGGGCTCCACACCCACAAGTGCCATTCAGCACAGAAGCAGCTGTGTGACCCCCAAGACCACTCACACCTGCTGCAGCTGCTTCAACAGGGACGAGAGTCGATTGTGTGGCCAATGCAGGGACCGCCACCAGGTCTCTCCCCTCCAGCCCGGGCCCGACTCACCAGCATCACCACACACCAATTCAGGATCCCGCGGTAGTTGCTAAAGCCACTGTCCGAGCTGAACAAAGAATCCTGCAGGCGGTGGCACCTGGAGGCGGGAGACATGCCCTCTCAGAAGCAGGTAGCGGCCAGGCAGGGCTGGCCCTGCCAGTCCCGCCTGGAGCTGTGAGAACCCCGCCCGCCTCCAAGCACAGGGCCAGGTCGGGGCCGGCACAGAACCCAGAGCCAGCCTTGGGGTCTGGGGCCTAGGCCAGAGCGGGGCCCGGGCCAGAGCAGACCACAGGCCCTCCCTCGGAGCGACTCCGGCCCATCCTAGCCCAGCGGGACAGTCTGCGCCCCATACCGCCCGCTCTTCTGCCCACACATCCTCCTCCCCGTTCACCATCACAGAAGACCCAGGCAGGGCCAGGCTCTCGGGACCGCCCAGAAGCCTGCCCTTCCAGGTCGCGGGCAGCTCACGCAGCAAACAGGAGCAGGACAGCCGGCCCTGCCTTGCCCGGGGCTACAGAGAGCTGGAGCTCCCAGGCCAAGAGCCCATCCTCGATTCCCAGAGGCCTCTGGCTGCCACCATACGCTACAGCCACGGATGGTGACGCGCCCAAAGGAACAGTCCACTCCAGGGATGTTGAGGCTGACCCAGCAGGCAGCTGTGCAGAGGGGCGGGCAGGGGCTGAATCTGCCTTGCTATGCCCGTCCCACCGCCCAGCGCCCCAAGGGGCCCCCACCTCCAACGACTTCCCCCCAAGGTTTGGCCCATGCAGGCTCCGGTGTCAACAGGGCCCCAGGCCAAGAGCCAGCTGGGCACCTGGACCTACACGCACTTTCCCGAGGACAGCGCCCCTCAGACATCTGCACAGCCTCCAACTATTGCTGAAAAAGTATCACCTGTTCCGGGTTATAACCACAGGGTCAGCACTGTGTTCCTGCCCAGGCCGAGGGGGCCAAGAAGAGCCCACGCAGGGGCCAGGAGCCTGATGGCAGAGAGACCTCCACAGAAGCAGGAGAGTTCCCACCCATTAAAGGGGTTGGGGAAACACAAGCAGATCCTCAACCCCCGCGTGGTCCTCAGAGTGACACAGAGCCGGCAGAAGGGCCACAGGGCCTGGGGCAAGGCCCAGACCCAGTTCCCGGCTCACTCAGCCTGCCTCACCCCACCGAGCTGCCGTGCCCCCAGGAAGCCTCACACGGCATTGAGCAAGGCCTCCAGTGTGGTAAGACGCGAGGCCAGGAACTCCCCTTCTCTCCCGTGGACAGGCATCTCCACCTCTTGAGGCCCCCAGGCAGGAGAAGTGGACTCAGAGGCATACACAGCAGGGGCGCCATAGCACAGATGTCCTCTCGGGGCTGACCCACCCTCCATCACAGGCCTTGCTGTGGGTTAGGGTGGACACCGGGAGGTGAGGGGCTGGGCAGGCTGAGGTGCTACCCAGCCGTTTGTAACCTGGCCGGAGGCACAGCCCACACCGCACCTGGCCCTCCAGCCTCTCCCGCTCACAGGTCTCCTTGTGTCCCTCTCCCATCTGTCCTGGGCCTTGCCGGGAGGCCACAGGAGACCCTCTCTTCCCTGAGACTCTGCACCTGCCTTTCTGCAAGGCAACCAGAGGTCCAAGGCCCCACTCCCCAGAGAGGACAGTCTCTAGGCCCGTCTGCTAGAGGAGGCCTCCCCAGCCCTTTTGCCAAGTTTGAGCCTATGCACTTGCACTGGAGCTGTCCCAGGGCCACCTTGTGCCACAAGCTGCCCCCCGACCTGCACGTCAACACCCATCGAGCAAACATTTCACAACAACGTGACCCCTATCACCAAGAAGACCGCGCTGCTTTTATTTTCAGCAATTTTGAAGTTGCCGCAATCCTTCAGCATCTTGAAGATGAAGACAGGGCTGGGAAATGGGTATTGTTTTCCAAATCGGACACCAAACAGCATCATAAGAGCATACTCCGATCCCGGGATCCCGGCTGTCAGGCTCTCAAGGCCTTCCCCAACCTGCCCGCTGCCACTCCCCGGGTCCCTCCACAGGGCTCCTGACCATCCCCGACCGCAGGCAGCACAGGCCCAGGAAAGGAAGCCCGCCCCGCACCAAAACCCACAAGGCCCAGCCTTGCCGTCAGAGTCGGCAGTGGGCCAGAGGGCGACAGGCGGGATCTGGCACAACACCCACAGCCATCTCTGCCACGGCCTCTCCCCTGCTACCCAGGCTGCCCACACCTCTGCCCTCTAGCGGTTCCACATTCGCTCCCCAGGTCTGCTCAACCAGCAGGGCCACTGGAACTCATCACCTGTGTCACCTCACTCAACCCTCACATGAGCTTTGGGAGGCAGCCTCGAGGGGAAACTAAGGTTTGCCGAAGTTTAAAGCCTGCCGGGGCACAGCCCCCAAGTGTGGATCACACCTGGTTCAGCTTCAGGGCCAAGCAGAGCAAAGAGGGGACAGAGTGCCAGCTGTCCTCCCAGCAGCCTCCTCCTCGGCACTTCCTTCAGCCGGCCTCTGGGCTGACCCTTGGGATGCAAGAGGATGCGTGTGCTCCCCATAACCCGATACCCTGCTGGGGAGGAAGAAAAAGGACATCCCAGGAACAAACACCCGGGGGGCGCCCTGCCCAGAAGGCCCTGCCTGGAGTGCCCAGTAGCCAAGGGCCAGACGGCCTGGGCAGGGGCACTATGTACGGCGCCCCCTCCTTCCTGCCGCACAGCTGCACCCTGCCATGGCCGGAAGAAATGAGTTCACACCCAGAGCCTGACCCCCCCTTCCCAGGCAAGGTGAGCAGGAAGTATAGGGAGGGGAGGAGGCCTGGAGCCCAGGGCGTCAGGAAGAATGGGGAAGGAGAGGCAGCAGGCAGGGGCTCCCGGGGGGCTCAGGTGGTTAAGTGTCTGCCTTCGGCTCAGGTCATGATCCCGGGGTCCTGGGATCAAGGCCCACACTGGGCTCCCTCTCCATGGGGGACCTGTTTCTCTCTCTCCCTCTGCTGCTTCCCCTGCTTGTGCTCTCCTGCTCTCTCATTCTGTCAAATAAATAGACAAAAATCTGAGGTGAGGGGAGTGGACAAGGACGGGAAGCCTAGGGACCAAATCCCAGCACAGCCAGAGCAAGGCCTGAGCCTGTTGGCCCCCTGGGGCCGTCTGACATCGGGGCCCGAGGAACAAGAACACATGGCCTGCCTGACCCGAGACCAGGAGGGGCCCTAACTGCCAGCTCCCCCTCTAGCCCCGGGGCATCTCCCGCTCCTCTTCCCAGGGGCCCAGACTTTGAGGCTGCCACTCACTTGGCCCAACTACCAGGAGCACAGGCGAGGCTTCAGGACATCGGGCCTTGGCAGAGCAGGGAAGTGACTGCCGATCCCAGAGTGGCAACGTGGCCCAAAGCCAACACCCCCGTCTTACACAAAAGGACACCAACTCCTGCCACCTCTGCAGGAGATCATGCAGCCATAACCCCTGACTCCTGGAGGGCAGTCAGCAGAGGGGACTCTAAGGCCCTCCTGTCCTTTGGAGCCTCCTCAGCACTGCCCCAGGCCCACGGGGAGCAAGCACCCCCTCGGTAAAAGCTCCGTCCCCTGCCACAGCGCCTTCACAAACCCCGGGCCTGACCTTTGCTCGGGCTGCTCAGTGCGGAGATTATCTTATCTCTAGGCGGACTGTGAGCAGCCCAAGGGCAAGGACCCCAGCCACCCTCACCCACCCTCTCGCCACGGTGAAGCAAGCCCCTGTTCGTGTTCACTGAGAGAGCAAACCCTTGCCGGCACACGGACTGACCGCCCACTTCCTCCTCGATTACCTCTAGCCCCAAAGGCAATTCCAAAGCTTAAGCCCCGAGGACCCTGGGCCAGAGGGAAGGCCAGAAGTGGGAGAGGGAGGCTAGAGGTGGCGACGGGATCACTTGGAGCAGGCTTGAAGGAGGGACCCAGTACCTGGCCCTCCAGGTCCTCCCCATCAGCCCCCCAACCACTTCCTGTCAGTCCTTCAGCTAAACAGGTGCCCACCTGGGGGCACTTCGCGTCCCTCTCCTGTACCCCAACCTGGGGGTGAGAGTCCCAATGCAGGACCCAACTCCGTCCCTGCAAGAAGACACTTGTTCTGGAAACCGAAGCCGGGGCCCAGGCCAGCCAAGCTCTGGGTGACGGAGGGACCCCCATGAAAACAACTCTGGCGACAGTCTGCAGGGACACAGCCCTGCCCCTGTCCCTCAGGCAGCCCCAGTCTCCTGCGGGCTGCCTGCCCAGCAGGGCCACCGTCCTCTGCGAGACTCCCAAGCGCCAAGGCACCCCTCACAGCCCTCAGAAGACACCTCCCTGGTTACAAACCACCCGCTCCCACCCGGCTCCTTGCAGACAGGGAGAACCCGGGGTCCCGGGCTACCCTGGGGAAGACGACGTGTGGAGGGGTGGGGGGTCTGGAAGCCAGACTGCTGCCGGCTCCCCTCTGCACCCCGACGTGGGTGACCTTGGCAAGGGACTCCCCACTCCTGTGCCTCAGTCCCCCCCCCCCCACAGGGACCCCAGGGGCACACCTGCCCACGCCAAGTCCCGGAGCCAGGCTCGCGCACTCGGAGCCCGCGCTGCTGCGGTCATGCCCGGGGCACTGAGGAGGGTCCCGGGCAGGGGGCAGAGGTTAGGGGTGGGGCGCCTCGCTACCTCAGATCCCAGGGGCCGCTGCCCACGTCGGAGCCTCCGTTCTCGTCCTTGTCGGGGGCCGGCGCCGGCGCGGGCGCGTCTCCCGGGGGGCCCACGTCCCGCACCTCTTCCGCCGCCGCGGGCCCGCCGCCGCCCTGGCTCGAGGGCCGTGAACCCGTCCTCCGGCGCCGGGAGCCGCCCGTGCCGCCGCGGTCGCCCATGGCCTCAACCCTCACCCGGTCCGAGCAGAGTCGTGGCCCGCCGCGCTCGCAGGGCCCAAGGCCCGCGGCTCCGCTCCAGACCCTCCGCCAACCGCCGCCACCGCCCCCTGCCGGACACCGTAGCCCGCGCGCTGATCCCGGGCGCCAATCAGCGCGCGCCCTCCGGGCAGGCCAGGTACTGCGGGCACGTCGCTCCGGGAACCCCTAACTGGTCAACGGCTGGGGCGCGCGCCCATTTGTAGTCCGCGGGCGCGCGGGGCATCCTGGGAGTCGTGGTCGCTCCGCGCGGGGCACCCTGGGAGTCGTGGTCGCTCCGCGCGGGGCACCCTGGGACTCGTGGTCGCCCCGCGCGGGGCACCCTGGGAGCCGCGGTCGCCGGGTACACCCGAGAACGTGGTTGCGGCCGGGCGGCCCAAGGCGGACCTTGTTCCCCGCGGGCCTCTGCGTCTCCACGGAACGCGCCAGGCCTCCTGGCAGCGCCGAGCCTCCCCCCACCGCTTCCTGATGCTCCTCCCGCTCTGCCAACGCGGGGTTCGCCGCTGCTCGGCCAGGCACGGAGTGCGGGGTGTGGATGACTCACGAAGGGCCTCGCGGTCGCGTCAGGCCTCGCGGCCGTGTCCGTACGACCCGCCTCGCCCACCGCCCAGCGTGTTGGCCTCCGAGCGCACGTCGGGGCGCGCTGGGGTCCCACGAGCCCCCTAGTTACCACCGCAGAAGCCCCTGCTTTTCCTGGGCTCACGCTGTTCAAGCGAGCGCCAGACCGAAGGTCGGAGCCGAGGAAGGCCCCAGACCCCGCGTCCCCGGGACGCCCGCCCTGCCAACTGACTCCTCGTGGAGGTGCCCGGCGGGGATAGGGAAGGTGTTGCCCCCAACTCCCATCCCCGAGTGGCCAGGCCCTGGCCCCCGCCCGCCCGCCCCCGTCCGCAGACTTGCCGGGCCTCCTGCATTTCCACCCGGGCTAGTTTTGCCAGGTGTGGGGACCCTGGGGTGCCGGATCGCGGGGACCCAGAGGCTTCCGTGTCCTTGCATGACCGCACGGTGCAGCCCCCAAGTGGGCAAGTGCGCCTCCCACCTTAGCTCGACTCTCCTCTCTGCACGGGGCCTGTAGTGGGAACGTCGAGGATTTCCAGGTACGGGGTTCACCGGGGACTCAGGCCGGGTTTACCCAGCAGCAAAACCCACTAGCCATTCACTCCTAAGTTGAGCAAGGCTGAGAGGAGTGCCTGTCTAGAAGCAAATAAACTGAGAGGGAGGTTCACCCTAAGGCTAGCGGCCTCTCCTGGTGCCCTGGCCACTGCCTTCCCGCTGGGCTCATCCGTGTTCCACCACCTTCACCACAGTGCCTGGGCCCCCTGGTGCCACATTCCTGTTGCCACTGGGCCATCTGGGATTGAAGCCAGCCTGGCATCCCTACCTGGCAGGCTGGGGCTACCCGGCAGGTGTCTTTGAGTCACCTGCCAAAGGGGCTGCCCTGATTGGGCAGGAGAGCCCCTCCCCCGTGATTATGCAGCCCCACGGGGTGAGTCAGTTTCAACCTCATCTCCTATCCAGTCTCTCAGAACTCTCGCCTGTTCACTGGCTGGCCTGGGCCAGGCAGAGCGAGGCCTTTCTGAATACTGATCCCAAGGGAGGGCGAACAAAGGAGAGCGTAGGAGCGAGCCCTGGGAGCTCTGCCACGTGCGCCCACGAGTCTCTGCGTGCCTTCTGGCTGTGCCGTCCTCCCAACACGGAGCCAAGAACTACAGGGCCCGCCCAGGCTGTCGGAGAAGATTAATGACTCGGGCTCCCAGTAGGCCTGGAGAGGCGGGGTGCCCTAGTCATAAAGGGTGAAGAGTCATGTTGGAAGCGGCCGCCTGCATCCACGTCAGGCTCCAAGCCATTGGCAGGCCTGTGTCAGCAGGAGCAAAGCGACCAGAGTGGACAAGGGATCACCAGGGAGGACCAGTCCAGCGGGGCACTGGAGCAGAGCGCGAGGAGAGCAGGACAGCGGGTTAATAGGCAGGCATGGGCTGTGAGAGCAGCAATAAGGACAAGCCTCAGAACCAGGGGCAGGGGAAGGGCCCGGAGGGAGGCAGGGAGGCCTGTGCGAGGGAGGGGCACATGGGGGTCTTGGGAGGGGGAGGGGGTCAGCACTGGAGCTTCACACGACACCCACAGCATCAGTTACCTCAGGGTCCTGGGGAAAATGAGACCCAGGATGCCAGGGGAGAGGGGAAAGGTCAAGGTAGGTGGGATTGCTTGGTGACAAAGGGGTACATGAGGGTTATGGAAGAAAGCTCAGTGGGGATTTCCCGGCCAGGGGCAGCAACTGATTAGGGGACCAGAGGCCAGGAGCCTTACAGGCCTGGCTGGAAGAGATGCAGAGCTTAGAAGCTCAGCCTGTGGCAGGCCACTGAGGCCCGTGAAGGGTCTGGCCCAATGGGGGACACAGGACATGGTGGTCAGCTGTCAGGGCCGCCCATTCTCTGGGATGTGAAGTCCTGTCCGGGGAAATCTGTGGAGATTGAGGGTTGGACTTGCTCCAGGCCTCAGGGAGGCGGTTTCCCTTCTTCCACCCTATCGCCTCTCAGACTCCTGGAGAAGCAGAGACAGCCTGTCTAGACCCAGAAGATGGGAAGGAAGGAGCATTCCTCACCCACGTGTGATGGCTGGTGTAGGGTGGATAGGGGTATTGGGGAAGGGCTTGTGTCAAAGGCAGGCCTTGGATAAGCTGTTCTCCCAGAGGCTGATTTTTCGTACGCAAATTGAGCTCTGAAGCCCACCCCAGCCCCGGGACTGTGAAAGCCAAGGATCCCTGGGCAGGAGCATCTGCACACTGACCTCTCCCAATACCACGGGCTTTCCCTCCTGAAGTTTTTACTGCTGACAGTGTTCCCCAGAAGAGGGCGTCCCCCTCCATGTGAGCCCCACCCTAAGCACACTATAGGCCAACTTCCTGCAGGTCAGGCTCCCCTGCTGTCCATCCCGATGAAGTCTGGGCAGGCCTATCTCCTGCCAGGATTCACACGGCTGGCCCTGGGATCATTTGGTTCAACTGCATGACTCCAAAGACTTTGGGCCTCTGGCTCATGCCTGCCTACCTGGGTATCAGGAGGCATTGCTGGGGCAGGGGTCCCTGTCCTTGGGCTGTCCCTGACCAGCACAGTCCCACCCCTCATCTCAGTTTGATTCATCCAGTCTAAGGCTCAAGGCCTGTGGGTGGCTGTGGAAGCCTGTGTGGCCCACCCGGAAGCAACACGGGTCAGCTGTCCACGGAGGCCTCCTCAGACAGTGAGGGGTTAGGGCGTGGGCAGCACACAGCAGCAAGGAGCTAGACCCTGCACCCCCCACTGGCCCCCTTTCCTCCACTGGCATTGAGGAGGGTTTGTTGCAAGGTGTCAGGCCCTAGGGGCTTGTACAGGGACAGCAGGCCATAGGTCTGCAGGCCTTGCTGTGCCTACTCTGGGGGCTCCAGATCACTTCTGGTCCGGCCTGACTTCAGGCTGGAGACCCTCAGCTCCCTCAGTTCCAGGCACAGAGCCGATTAACCTGCCATGGGACAAATGCCAACTGCTTTTTGGGGGAGTTCTCCCACAGCTTGGCCTGCCAGGCTGGCCCTTCTGGGTGGAAGAGAACCCTCTTGCAAAAGGGGACACTGGTGCGCCCTGACAAAGGCAGTGCCCGGCCCTGGGGCCGCATGGGCCGGCTGCCGTTCCCAGCACTGTACCTGCACAGCCTTGCCTCTGGGACCCAGCATGACGGGGCAGCCGACCCCCAGACATCCCAGTGCCCCCGTGGCGTCGGCCCAGCATTGGATACATCAACCCGACACTCCAAGTTCTATCAAGAGTGGCATTTATTCTCCTCGTGGAGGTGCGGCGCTCCGGGGAGCTGGTGCTATTGTGCTTAGGAAGGAGGTCTGTCCGTCCGTCCGTCTGTCCGGCCGGCCCAGCCCCAAACGGGGGCGGAAGAGGGGCGCGGCCCGAGTAAAAATCCCGGCCTGTTCCGGGTGGGTGGGAGTATGTACAAGGCGGCGGGGCGCAGGCGGGGGGTGGGGGCGGGGCAGGCCGGCGGCCGCAACCCCCACCCGAGGGCCCCCGCATCTCGGGCCCTACTCGTAGAATCAGTACAAAATAGGTGCTACCTAAACGTTCCTTCTACCTGAATTCGCTAAGTCGGTTATTGTGCTGCTTAGTTATGGGGGCGGGAGGGGGCCCATGGCTTTCCACGGCGGCGGCGGGGTGTTGTAGGGAGAAGCAGGAGACCCTGGCCGGCCCATGGCCCTCTGGCCTTCTCCTTAGGTAGGTAGACCGGCGTGTGGGGGTAGGGTGGGGCGCCTGTGTGCGTGCGTGTGCATGCGGGTGTGCCCAGCACAGGAGGGCAGACCCCAGCCTGGGAGCTGTTGGACCCCGAGGTGTGGTGCAGAGGGTTTGGGATGCGGGCCCTGCTGTGCTGGGCCCCCAGTCCACTCCTGCAGGGGCTGTTCTGTAGCAGCTTGGTGCCCATGGGGATGGGGCTGACCAGGTCATACACTCCAGCGCGCACCTTTTGTCTGGCCTGGGCCCCTGGCCCCATACAGCAGAGCCCATGGTGGCCAGAAGATGGAAGGACTGAAAGTTGGTATGGGTGGCCTGGTCGTGCTGGGCCTTGGGGCCCTGGGTCTGTGCCACCTGAGCTGAGAACGCCAGGTGCTAGTCAAAGGGAGAGCCCAGTTGCACCCAGCAGTGGACCCCGGCTGGGGCAGGGAAGAAGTAAGGGGGATGCAGGGTTGGGTCTAGGGATCAGGCCTTTCTCTGCGTATGCAGCCCTCCTTGGCCCACCCAAACCTGACGGACCCCTGTGGCAAACACGCACCCCTGCAGGTCGCTGCATCCCTGGCTGACTCTGCAGCGGGCCTGGCACAGAGTAGGTGGGTGATGGATGACTGAAGGAGGGGTCTTGGGGGCAACCACCCCCGCCACTGCCCCTGGAACCATTACACCCGCAGGGCTCTGCCGTGGGGGAGTAGGGAGGAGGAGGGGAAGAAAGTCTGCGCGTCCGGCCCCGCGCAATGTCCCTGATCTAGGGGCCTATGGGGTGGATAGGGCAGGGGGATACCTGATTCTCAGTAACTCTAGAGGCGGCGGCAGCTTCGCATGCAGTGCGCATTATTGCTCTATAGTCGGCATCGGACTAACTAAGAGGGAGAGGGAGCGGGCAGCCCCGGGAAGGG